ATGGCTTGGATTAGTCGCACTTTAGTCCTCAAACAGACCATCTTTGCTCTTGTACGTTTTAAAAAGATCTTGTGCAATACATTTGCCTAATGCAATAATAGATTCTATGATTTTTTAATTGTTTCCATGATTTTTGACAGCTTCAGTATTTTTTCCATTTATCATGTTACTTATTAATCTAGTTGTAAGGATTTTTGTTTTCTTTACATTGAGATGTGATCCTATTGAAGGCTGTATATAGTCTTTGGTCTTCATCAATAAGTATTTAAGTCTTTTTCACATTCAGCAAGTAAGATTTATTATCTCCAAATCTCAGGTTATTAATGAGTCATCTTGCAATCCTGATACCAAATTATTTTTTCGTATAATCCATCTCAACATACAAATTATATAAGTATGGTAAAAAAAAAAATACAACCCTGGTGCACACCTTTCCAGACTTTAAACCATTCAGTGTCCTCTTGTTCTGTTCGAATGACTGTCTCTTGGTCTATGTACATGTTTTTCAGGAGCACAATGGTATGTTCTGGAATACTCATTCTTCTCAATGTTATCCATAGCTTTTCATGATCTACACAGCCTTTGCATAGTCAATAAAACACAGGAAAACATTTTTCTGGTATTCTCTGCTATCAGACAAAATCCATCTGATGTTAGAAATTATACTGTCATTTCACTTCCTTGTCTGAATCCCACTTGAACCTCTTGCAATTTTCTGTCAGTGTACGGTTGCAGCTAATTTTGGATTATTTTCAGCAGAATTTTACTTGTATGTGATATGATATTGTCAAAGATTTCCATATTCCGTTGGGCCACCTCTTTCTGGAATGGCCACAAATAAGGATCTCTTCTAGGCAATTGGCCAGGTATTTCTTAGCATAGATGAATGAGTGCCTCCAGTGCTACATCATTTTGTTAAAGGATTTCAATTTGTGTTCCATTGATTCCCAGAGCAGTGTTCTTTCAGCTTGAGAAATCCTAAACTTGTTTTTTCTCTTTTGCTTTTCTAATTCCAGATTTTGTCACACGTCGTTATTAAACTTTACTTCGTCTCAGGCTGCCCTATTGAAAATTTCTTTTCAACTCACTTACCTACTCATTTGTTGTTTCACTTTAACCTCTCTACATTGAAGAACAGGTTTCAAAGTGTCTTTTGACATTTATTTTGGACATTTCTTCTTGTCTTCTTGATGATCTTTTGCTTTCTGCCTATCCAGTGTTCTTGATGCAATCCCAGAACTCTTCTGGTCTTCTGTCATTAGTGTCTAATGCATCAAATCTGTTCTTGAGATAGTCTCTAAATTCATGTGGGATATA